GTACAATAGTACCTCTCCCCTGTAAATACATACACATACATATATATATATATGCATGTATATATGTACAATATCCGCAAAATCTACTTTATTAATAGATAATTAATTAATTAAAGTAATATAATTTATTACCATATATGTCAAGATGCCAAGCGTCAAGGTAGGTTTGTTAAGTTATAATTTATCAATTAATTCTTGGCTTGAAGAGTTATCTGGGTGTGGTGTGGATAATATACGTTGTGTCCAGCACGTAAGATTCCAAAAACCAGCCTAAGACGAAATTTAAATGTAGAGATGAGAGTAGGGTTTGGTCGTCCTTGGAGAAGCAAGGGATCACTTTATTCTGCTGATCATGGGTTCCTCTCTCCTGTAAGGTTCCTCTCATGACTTCATTTTTACGTACTACTACAAGACAAGATAGCCATACATATAATAATATCAAATTCCAACCATGTAATATACATACATATGGTTCATATAATATTACACTATAGCTAGCTTGGACTAAGAAATTGCTTGCTAAGCAGGGAAATATTGAGCAACTACGCCAGTCAATAACCGAGTTTTCCATTTTTTTATGCTAATATTGTATATGCATACTATCTGTCCGCACTACTTCACAAGTCACCCATGAGAGAGAGAGAGAGAGAGAGAGAGAGAGAGAGAGAGATTTTGTAACTTGTGAGCCACTCAATGGAACATGTTTGTTGCAACTAAGCAACCCAAAACACCAAAGTAGTTGAATAGGGTTTCAGTGTGTAACAGATGAATGAGATTGTATATCTATCCAGATATAAACTATTTAGAACACAAGTCACATGGTTTATTTTATTTTATTTTTTTTCAAAAAAAGGATCATGTTGGTGGTTTCGCCACGACAATCCACCCTTTCGGGAGCCGAGAAGAGTCATGGAGGCATTTCAACCTCCCTCTGGCCACCATCATGCGATTCACTAATGCTAGGAATCGAACCAATAAAGTGTCGTGTGGAACACGAGCCTGTAATTCGTCCCCAACTATTGGAGCACCCCCGGTGGTTTAGTCACAAGATTTATTTGCACAAGTCGACTTAGGCAGCAGAAAAACATAAGATTAAACAATATTGGGATCCACCAATTTAATTATCTATGTTATAGAGATTACAGACACATGCAGTGATCGTATATGCGCTAGAGGCCACTTCTCTCTCAGACACATGAGTCTAATCCATAATGTGCCATGCTTAATGCCACACTAATTACTTTTTACAGAGAAAGACATCTGTATTTCCCTCTCCCTCTCATGACAGATACTACAACAACCAGCTCAACCCCCCCAATGTGTTTTTGCTGAGCTTGTGGATATGACTGATGAAACTAATTAATTAATATCTTTATTAAGAGATGTGTTCCAATATTCCAAATTTTGATACTATAATTAAGGGAAATTCTAAGATCAGTCGCGTTGGCACTCGTGAGGTGATCTACTGATCCTATCACTCCACCGTGAATGATTAGTAATAATAAAGTTTTTTTTTTTTCGTTTTTGTTTCGTTTAGTGTTTAATTAAGATTGAATTAGAATGATAACTCATAAATTAACTACATTTGGAATTGATTATTACTCCTAACATAAATTAACTACATTTGTCACGGTCATTAATTACATTTGGAATTGATTATTAATTATTACTCCTAAGTTCCTAACATAAATTAACTTCATCTTCCGTAGATCTGAATCTGAGTATGAATATGACATCATAATCTATCAGAACCATACTTTGCAGTTGTCACTTCTCTTGTACGTACTTCGTGATTCATGCCTCCACAGTGTACTGACTTAACCCAACTGTTTTCTTTTCCCATTATTTTTATTTCCTCCTTTCCCTCTGAATTAGTCATTTGCTTTCAGTAATACAGAGAGTACACGAAACCAATACTTCGGACTAGTTTATTTAGATACCTTTTTTTATATTTTAACAAACGTATTATCTATCCTAAAGGGGAGTGAGTGTGTTTACCTTCATAAGGGCTAACAATAATCTGGTTCAAATTCATTTTTGGCAAGAATCAGATTTAAGACCTCTTACTTACAAGTGAAGAGAAATATCACTAGACCGTAATACTAAGTGACTCTTGATAAAAATTCAAGAGGAGCCAAGATGGTGTCACCAGCAGGAGACCAAATTTACAAGTATTTTAATTTTATTTTTTTTATTTTGAAAAAGGGGACACGCTAATGGCTTAACCACAGTAATCTATTTTTTTAGGGGACGAGAAGACTAACAAAAGACAGGGCGTATAATTCACCGGAATCAAATATAGAACATGTCGTATGAAATACGAGCCTAACATTTGTCCACAATAACTGGACCATCCGGTGGTGGTTGACCAAGTTTACACGTTTGGTTATGTTAATTTGTGTATATTATACTATACGTGTGATGTTTTCTTTTAAAATTTGCATTATATCAACTTGCATTCATCTATATACGCCAAAGTCATTGTCCAAACTAATTTGAGTGGTACAATATGAAATTAGAGCGTGTTTACGTTTCCGTAATCAGAATAAAAAGTCGGAATGTGATTCCGATTACGGGTTATTCTTGTGTACTAAAATTTGAAGGAATCAAACTGGATGGGGTCCACTCGAAAAATAGGAATTGAATTCCAAATTTTGGAGGAATTGAACTCCTGAGTAGGAGGTGTCATTTGAGTTCCGGGACAAAGGAGGAATCCAGAATACAATTTTCTACCTATTATAACCCCATCTAATTCCTGAAAAACTCCAAATCTGCCACTCAAATCAACAAGCCCAGACCTCTCTGCCTGCCTCCCTTTCACCTCCCCGTGCCCAGCGAACCAATCTCAAGAATCCTAGGGCGTCTTCAGATATCGTAGTGAGTTGGTTGTTCTTTGGTTGTGGCATCGTGGTTGGATGGGGATGGAGGTGCGATGCGCAAGAGAGATCAATGGATGCACAGGAAATGATGATGAAGGATCCACAGAAAATAAAATGGAGGAGAAGGAGGAAGAGAGTGGTGGCGGTAGCCGCTGGTGAGGACTGAGGAAGGATACTGGGAAGAAGAGAAATGACGTTAAAATTTAAGTTCCAAAAGGTTGAAAACTTGGGCTGCTGGCTTGGGAAGTTATGGGATGGGTATAAAAATTAGGTTTGAAAAGGTCAAAAAAAAAAAAAAAAAAGTTTAAAAATTAGTTTATAAAGAGATAGAAAATTCAATCATTTATGGGTTAAGATTGTATGAAAATTAAATTATACTCATTATCACATAAAATAATTCATTTAGACCAAGAGCAGTTTAGTAATCAAATGGTTTTGATTCCAATTCAAAAGTGAATTGGTAAACAACTTGTATGAAACCAACATTAATCCTATTCTGTTTCCTGACAATTTAGTAAACATCTTTCATAGGAATTTGATTCTGATTCTGATTCCTCCCCAATCCAATTTTACGTCAATTCAATTCTTCCTCAATTCGATTCCTCCCATTTTGATTACAGATTAGTAAACGAGCACTTAGTGTTCACTATTGATTTAGAGTGGGAAAATAACACCTCCCCCATTGTCATTCTCTAATTTCAGAATTAACCAAATATGAATTTAGTGTTTGAATATGATTTTCTTCTATTTATAATTTGCACTCACTCTCTCTTTGCTAGCTAATAGCTATGGGTTACTAGTACATGGAAGTGGTGGTGTGGTGGATGTGATTTGAATTAAATGGAAAGATTATGACTTAATTAATTGTGATCTTGAAGTGTAAAACAAGGACAAATTGGTAGAGGGCTGAAAACCAATATGGTGCATGTTGATTGCTCAGAAAGGGCATGAGAATACTAACATAGAACACAGGTTGCAAATTGGTTCATCAGAATACGACACGAGCTTTATTAAGCAGCACAAAACATGACCTTAATTAAGCTAAACTTGCTAATAAATCCAATCCAAAGATAATTTTTTTCATATTATTTTTTGGGAATTGTTATTAGTACACTGAAAATCTCATTTTGCACTCCAAACTTTCCATAATTGAAGGAAAAATATACATGTGAGGAGTGTGAAACGATATTTTTAGAATGCTAAAAATAATTTCCTATTTTTCTCATTGTTTTTTTTTATTTACTTTTGATTTTGGTGAACCTTTTAAAAAAAGACCATGAGCCATGAAACAGCCAAGAGATAGAGGAAGCCAAATGATTTTTTATCCATTAGATTGGCAAGTTGAAAAAAAATAATATTTTCTTAATTCGAATCAACCATTTCCCCTACTGTTGAGTCGTCCGGATTGTTAAAAAAGCGAAAAAAGATTATTTTCAGATCTCTTCTTCCAAAACCTATATATCAAGTGATCCGGATCCTTAAAATTTAATCCAACAGTAAAAAATTATTATAACTTATAAAATTTTTTACTAACTTCTCTGTTTTTAGCCGTTGAATCAAATTTCAAAAGTCCGAATCATTTGATCTAGGGGCTTTAGAGAAGAGATCCGAAGAGGATCTCTTTCCAAAAAAAACTGCTAATGTATCTTTTTTTTTTCCCAACATGATCCTCTTCGGATCTATTTAATGAGGATCCTGAGAATCTGTAAATCTTATCCGTTCATCGTACATCATGCGTTCAGTTTTTGTCAAGTACGGTTTGTTTTTAATTTTAAATAAAAACATTTAAAATCATTTTTGACCGTACGATGTACAATAAATTTACACAAGTTATAAATTTCCAAAATTCTCGAGGATCCGGCGAGTATCCGAATTCCTTTTTTTTGGTACCACAACTGCATTTCCGTTAATTAGAAAACTGACCCAACTGTCATTACGCTGCTTTGAAACAGCAACGCAGTTCTAGGAAACAGAAATCACTGTTTTTTTTTTTGTTTTGGTCGAAAATAAAATAAAATAAAGAGAGATAGGAAAATGTTAATTTACTATGCTTTCTTGCTTTCAATTTGCCATGGAACAGACAACAGAGTAAAATATATGAGCGCATCGAAAACCGTTGAGTTACTGAACTAATATATGTATATATATATAGAATTATTAGAAATTATAAACAAAATAATAAAAAGAGTTTTTTTTATAACTTCACTCACAAAATAAAACTCTCTTTGGATCACTAATCACTCTGGAATAAAATTGGAAAATAAGTTTGATTGGGTTTTGCCTCTCTCCCTCCTCAACTGCAGGAAAAAACCATGCTTTGGTCGACCATGGCACTCAACTCTTATGACATCCTTGGAACAACACGTCTACAGCTGAGCTACTCAAACTCGCCGAGGTTCAACAAACACAGATGTAGTTCTTGGGGGCACAGTGAAGCATCCTGAGGAACCATCATACGTAGATCTCTTAACTATTTCATCCGTTGACGTTACCTGCAACAAGTTCATATTTAAAGAACCAGTATAAAACAAATCAAGCAGGTTTATCTTTGAAGCAACTTCAAGTGATCTGAGCTCATCTGACATTCAGAATCTTTCTTCTAGGCTTGAGATGTTATGCAGAAAATCTCTGGCGCTCCCTTCGATTATGCCAAATTTGAGCAAAGAAACAACATGAAAAAACAGCGGTAATTGACGTCAATGGTTTACCTGCACAGGATGCAACTGAAGAGTCCTAGACCGAAGAGGGGGACTGGCAAATGACACCTCAGTTGGACACGCATTGATGATAACCACAATGTAAGAGAAACTGTGCAGCACAAAGGTTTGTCAAGTGAATTATTTTCCAATCATTGGTATCATGGAAAAATTAAAGTTAGAGATATTTATACCGACATTGGATCAAGCTGAGATAACCCTGGCACGCCTTCATGACCATCTTCAATGCTCATTACTATGACTCCAGGGACTAATGAAGGACCAGTATTATGGAAACGTACCCGTTCCTGAACAGTGAATATTATGTATTAAAACTTGGGAGCAAATTTGGTTTATCTCTAAAATAAATGGTTCATCTCATAGCGTTTGCTATACAAGAAGCCCATCACTTTTTCTTGGTAAAATCAATTCTAAGAAAAAACATTACTATTGTAGTGGAACGTAAGTATGGATACGAGGCTTCTCACCTGAATAGCATTTGCTGTCCTCAAACGAAAAAGTGGTGAAGAGTACCTAATACGTAACAAATTAGAAAAGTTCTCCACAGCAGCGAGGATGTGACTCTTCTGAGGCTTAAAGGATGGATCTGCTAATCTTGGTTTCATTCTGAAAAAAGGAAACATAACCATAAAAATTATGACTTGACATTTTATACCAGTCATCATAAAGTTTCTGATGCCAGATACACCTTTCTACATCCCATGTCAACGTCACTAAGAAATACGCAGGATCAAATGATTGTGGAAATAGACGAGTGCTTACAGCGGCCAGCTGTGTTCGTTCTTCTCTTTTGGAGGAAGGCCAACACCCCAATTGTTAGAGCTATAAGCGAAGTCCAGCCTGGAAATCATACCAAACAAACGTTATGCTTGAGAAAGACAGACGTCATAGCACGCATGGGTTACTCAATTAGAAAAGATGAAATGGGACTATAGGAGTGAGATTTATTCTTGAGCACATAAAGGATCCAACTTGTAACTCGAAAGTAGCATATAATGCAGAAGATCATATACTTATTCGAGCAGTTAGATATAAGATCAGCTAAAATCGTGAAATCTTATGTAACAACTATAACTAAGACTGTAACTTGGGAATGAGATTGGCAATTGACCTATTGAACCAATCACCAGAATTGTATGAGTCACGATCAAGTGATTTTGACCGAAGCAGCTCATCGCCGGCGTGGAAAAATGGTATCCCCTAAAATTAGGAAATCATTTATAACTGATTGGTCATACAATATCCCAAAAAAATGAACAATATAAAAATGAATTAATAAACATCATAAATAATCCTAGTAGCCTGCCATTTCATACATGAAATTTTCATTAAATCAACATTAAATACGATTTAAAACCTGTCCGAGTGCTATTACACTTGTCGCCAAGTGATTTATCCTGCATCTCTCCTCTAAAGAAATTTCCATCGAAGTCTACCAGTAATGGATTGAGTTAGACAAGAAGTTACAAATCTGAAGTCAAATAAATACTGAAGAAGTACATGTACCTTCAGAGCCACGATGTCGAACAGAGTTTCGTTGTCATGAGCAGAAACATAATTGATCTGGAGAACAAATGTAGTTATCAATTGTATGGTTTTTCTATGTTAATATTCGTCATTCTACCTTTAAAGCATCAATATGAAGTTATGAACAATGCATTAACATCCCGAGCAAAATGCATTAACCGAAGTTCATTAACTGCCAATACTCAGATTTGCTAAGCCCACTTGACAGCAGGTTCTCAACCTAGCATCTAAAATTATACATTACATTACATCGGTTAAGGGTATAAAATATGGCTCAGAAAACATCAAGTACCTTCAAACAGGTGGTGATAGGCACAAAATCACAAGAACTAAAATTATGAATCCTGATATAGATACTTACAGTTTCAGTAGGAGATAAAGTATATGCTACAGGTGTCCCGCCATAGGTCAAAACTTCTGCTCCTTTTACCTGAATGAATCATTGGAAATGTCAAGGTAATGCATTTCAGCTAAAACATCAACAGCGGATATTGATACTTATCCCTCTGGAAATTAATGTACACCTCTTTCCCTTCACAATCGGTTAGCACAAAATCCCTCAGGTTTGCAGCCATTCCAACCTGCATTGCTGTACTTCCATTAGATACGATCACAACAAAAATACTAAAGGAATTATGGCTTATGAAGCCTTTTGCAATATCACTGTAGAAAGAAAAATAAGATTTGGATCCAAAGTCAGTTAAGTAGTATTATTTAAAAAAGGATGACAATCAAAACTTCAAATAAATGAGAAAATGAAAAGTAAAAGAAACTTCAAAGTGACCATCCCTAGAGAACTTCGTTTTTTATTGAAAATTCTTATCCCCTAGATGAAGAAACCTATCAGTTTTAGTCTACCAATGCAGCTCATTCCGTCAATACAAGAACAATTTTCAGTTTAATTTCAGTTGGCATCCATCAATTTTCATGATTTCATTTGTACATGGACTAAGGAGACAAAGGAGTCCAGCATCGGGCCAAAAACAAAATGCTAGATATATAAAAATGCATTAAAATGATAAACCTGAATGTGATCCTTTGATTCAGCAAGCATGTGTTTTGCAACACTTTCTGGACCATGATCGTGACCATTAGGCTACAGAAGAAAAATAAATCCATTACCTATGATGAAAACAATCATACAATATTCAACATAAGATATCACTTTCACCCTTAGCATGAGTCAAAACTGTAGTGATATACATATTACTAGTAGGCTACAGAAGAAAAATAAATCCATTAACTATGATGAAAACAATCATACAATATTCTAACATAAGAGATCACTTTCACCCTTAGCATGAGTCAAAACTGTAGTGATATACATATTACTCCTTCAATGATGCAAAACAAGATATATGTGTAGAGTGATGCTCTTTCTCCGTATAGTCTAGCTCACAATGTTGATCATGCAAATTTCACTTCACCTTATTATGGTCTTAAGAGATTGCGGGACACATAACATGTCAAAATGTTTCAGTACAGAGCACCCACTATACTCATACAAAACATATATAGTATATGCATGCAACTTATTAGCACACGAAACAAAATTTGTAGTAGTCTCGCTAAATAATCAACTAATATATAAAGAGCTCCTTTTAAAGTCATTATATACCTGCAAGAGTAGACCGGTCACAAATCCTTGCTGAAGAGGATGGCCAAATGGAGATCCACCAAGTATTGCATCCCGTATTCGATCATTAAAACTGATAGATAAATCAACACATAGCTATAGGCACTCACTAGGTAGTGAAGAAAGAAATGGAAGAAAGGAAAATCTAGTATATATAGTTCCCACTGAGTTCGCATTTGACTAGAACAAGACATTCCAGTACAAGGTTGAAGTTCAACCACCGTACATCTTTATTTGTGTCTCTTTTGAATCTCTTATAAGGAGAGAAAAACAAAATAAAAAGCAGATGCCAGTATCATCCTTTCAACTGTCAGTAACTGAAAGACTATTTTTAATCAGACAGTCCTATATCTAATTCCTGCATGCCATCCTATTTCCTAGTTCCTCAACATAACAAAAAGAAATGTTGGACCCCATTTAAATGAAACGAAAAATAGTACCTCCCAATTCCAGTTCCACGAAGATTGGACTGTGATGCATTTATTCCACGTCCATTATTGGCAACTTCACCAAAATCCCATCCTTCACCATATCTTGATAAAAGTGATAAAACAAGAATATTGAGCCAAAATCATGCTAAAGATTCAAGAATTGTAAACAAAACAACAGATCCATAGGGAAAATTCAAGCATCGATTTCCAAAGCTACAATAGTAGTGTGTTTTTTTTGAGAAGAAACTTTAACAGTTTATTAAAAAAGAAAAGTGTAATACACAGAAGTGGATAAGAAATCCACCAAAAACAGAACAAGAAAATCTCTCCAGAGGATCTGAATACAAGTAGGACGACCTCAACCAAAATCACTTTACAACTGCTAACATATCCCACAGTATGTGAGAAAGAGAGTAATTCTTAAAATCATTTGAAACTGAAGCCCAAAAGGCTGCCCAATATCTTACTCTTCCCCATAGATCTGCTACCCCCACACCAGTATAATCCTCAAAAATTCTTTTGTTACGCTCCAACCAAATGTTCCAAAAAACTGCCGACACCAGACAACCCCACAAAGCTTTAGCTTTCCTCCCAATTCCTATAGCCTCAAAATTAGTGCTTAGAAGCTCGAAACAACCCTTTGGAATGACCCAACTAACTCTAACCTCCTGAAACAATTTCCACCACAGTTGAATCGTGTGTTAAATGAATATAGTGAGTAATTACATATAGATACTTGAGCCATCAACTCCATCCCTTTCCTTTGTTAGGCTGCAGAGTGCGTCTTTTGCTTTCACCTGTGCACGAATTAGTATCTTTTAGGCATTTGGCTATTGAACATCCACTCAATGTACTATGCTAACTGGCTGAGAGTATCATACCATTGTTCTTCTCATTATATGACCCATAAGATCAAACCGGAACCCATCAACCTGCCAAAAGATTCATATGATTCCAGAAACCACCTTTAAGACTTATAAGTATACATGCGATGATGCATACAACTCAAACCCTTTCAATCTAACAATAAATCAGTATACACTTTATGGATGAAACTACATGAGGCTTCTTTGAGGTATTCAAGCACCATTTGATGAGTGAAATCTCACCTTGTAATCAACTGCCCAGTGCAATAGATCATCAACAATTAAACGCTCAACCATAAAATGCTCACTAGCAGTGTTGTTCACACATGTACTATTCTCGATAAAGCCATCTGTATTTCTTCTTAAGTAGTATCCTGGAACAATCTATAAGTAAACTTTAAATCAAAACAGAAGAATGGAAATCATTCAGGAAGACTGTAAGGCAGGACAACAGTCTATATATGGTGGGATCTTATGAATAATAACAAGTCATAACCTTATCAAGAACAGAATTCACACTAAATGGCCCACTTTCGGACAAATGATTGTAGACAGCATCCAAGACAACACGAAGGCCGTAACGGTTAAGCGCCTGCAAGCAATATAACCACTTTCCCATTATTTTTCACCCAAGTAAACAGGAGGCATACGAGGGGACACTAAAAGCAGAAAACAGGAAAGTCTGAGGAGAAGAGGGTGGGTGGAAGGGATGAAGAGAGAAATCAAGTAAATAAATTGCAAAACAAAAGGAAAGAGAATAAAGATCCAGTTAGGACAATGGAAGAAAAACTTCAACTGACTGCAGATAAGATAACTTGTTAATCTAGTATATCACAAGATGCATTAAACACAGAATTTGGAGAAGTGACAACCTAATATCCATACCTGGACCATCTTCCTGAACTCAATTGCACGGTATGTACCATTTGCATTACTTGCATAGCTTCCTTTAGGGACCCCCCAGAGAACAGGGTTGTACCTTCAAAAGACGTAAAGATCAAGCCATCAAAAAGTACTTAAGCTAATAATGTAAAACAAACTGACAGAAGCATACCCCCAGTTATATCCATCATCATTTTGGATAGCTGTAATAAGAGCTTGTTGCTCATCCGAATCTGGAGCAAACTTTTCAAGTATCTTGAAATCTGGCCAATGTCACACAGAGGAATGGTGCAACCAAGCAAAAGTCAATTTAGCTTACATAAGACCACAACATTTTGTTTCTGAAACATCAATGTATATACACATAACTCATACATCATATTCCGGTTTGCATCAACATCAATGGGAAAGGTTCCTTTATATTTGAAGTTCAAATGGAAAGGACTGGTTGTTTTGCAATGCCTAAGCTCGTATATTCCCTTACCTACACTCTTCCAATTCTCCTTCTCATCATCAACCCCTGCAAATTGGTAGGCTGGCAGTAGATGAACATGAGTGATACCAGCATTTGATAATTTCTTCAAATGAAATGCACCCGCTGAATCCTTCAAGCAGTCAATTACGTATTTTTAATTAGTAAAGTCTTAGAGAATTCCCCTTTCCTTTCATCCATCATGTAAGATCCACGTGGAATTGAATACTTATAGTTCTAAGTTAAATTAGTATGCTTCAGGCATACTTGGGTTTTAAATTAGTACGCTTCAGGCATACTTGGGTTACACCTCTTAATAGAATAATAGAACTACCTGCAAAGTGAAGGCAAGATATCCACCACAAAATTCAGAATGCACAGTCTGGTCATTGGCACTGCAATGGCAGCTGAGTATATTACGAGTGTAATGCAATACCAAAACGATAACCATATTTGGAGAAACAGACACAGATTACTCGTCAAAAGTTAAACATAGCATATATCACTTGAGATCTCTTTTTTAGATAATTGGCTGAAAGTGTCATTATATGTTATTACCTGAAATCTCTGATGTGTAACTCATAAATACTTATGTCGGAGAAAGTATTTATATCAGGTTTCTCATCAGCCAATTTATCCCATCCTTCAGGTTTTATATCATCAGAATCAAGATTAACCAGCAATGTCCGCCTGCCATCTGATGAAAGCCTGCTTCAACAAAAATTAAAAGATAATAAATCTGGGAAATGTCAATAAGCAGGCATATACATCAATGTTCATGACTAAATACATACTAGTGGATAGCAGTGATGCATAACTTTAGAATATGGAAACACCTTAGCTATTTTCCGATAACTGTTGGCTAAATTAGACAACCGGCATACCCTCTAGCATATGGATCGTTTGCATAGCACTTTTCAATTTTCAAGGTGCTAGGATGATATACAGACACTTCATACACGTAATAGCAGCCTTCCCAACTTTTTGGCCCTTTAGTACTCCAAACGCCATTAACCTCCTCAAGTTGCACAACTTCTAGGGGATTCCCCCCACCTAACGGTTCCTTATAGATGCAAACACATACTTCCTGTTTTGTAAAAAGAAAATGATTGCTTCCATAAGTAGAATTGATAGGGCAACTCTAGTAATTAATAAAAAAAACTTTTCACATATAAGTTATATACCCGAGCCGTAGGCGCCCAAAGGTACAGTGACACTGATTCTTCTGAATAAAGTGCACCAAGGGGACCATTATACGAGAACAATTCATCTAAAATACCAGGTAACTGCAGACCAGTGGCATCACTGCACCTTCCATTAGCTGTATAATATGAAAACAGATAAACCATATATTCACTGGCTGAAATTAAGACACTGCATATCGATGATTTATGCTGGTCTAGATTCGCACAAAACACACTCACGGTAATGACTATGTTCCGTCTAAAAAAATTGTGTTTTCAAGATTACCAAGCTTACAAAGCAGTGATCCCATCTGACCGAAACAAAGAAACTTAAAATACTGATCCAAGATCAGAAAAAATTAAATGTAAATGAACAGCTTCTATATTTTGCAATATAGCACCACAAGTATTTAATGTTAAATTAAATGGTTTACCAGATGGACTGCTACAAAAAATTGTCATCCAATGAAACAATATATGATGTATGCCTAAAGGATTGGAAATAATTAGTCAGGATTCTGATGGAGGTGTTTCATTATATATTCAATCTGAAAGATAGAAGATAATACAATATATGACGTATGTTTAAAGGATTGGAAATAATTAGTCAGGATTCCGACGGAGGCGTTTCATTATGTAGTCAATCTGAAAGATAGTAGATAATAGTTCTATAAAAAAGCAATGCAAGAACGCTAAACACTTTAAATGGTCCGAGAATAACTTTTAGCACAAATGGGTGACTACCACAAAACATTAAATTACAAATAACTAAGAATATTCAAAACGTAATTCTTTAGAAATTGTGAGTTTTATCTACTTCAGCACTCTCAATCACATGCACACCCTCAACAAAAGGTAATTGATCAGAATTCGTTGTATTTCACACCACTACTAGTCTAGGGAGACAAAATGGTTTATCTAAGGGTGCGTTGATAAAAAAAGGTAATTGATCAGAATTCATTGCATTTCACCACTACTAGTCTAGGGAGAGAAAACGGTTTATCTTACGGTGGGTTGATAAAAACTGACTGGCAAAGAACAAATGCAAAAACATTCTTACCATCGAAAGTAGCAACTGCCAGTTGGCATTTGAGAAGAGGTTTGGCATCCAAATCAGGGGGCACATTAAAAGCTCTGTAATCTTTGATATGGGGAAATTTTTCTTTCACCTAACAGAAATCATTTTATGCATGGGTCAGTTCGAAGCAGTTTCAAAACTTCTCCAGAAGTTACACTAAGAAAAAACAGCAACAACAGGCTCCTTGAAACAGCTTCTACAGATTACGTAACATAGTACATTTTCCGGAAGCCCATGTTTATCTTCTTCAAGCTTTACTTTTATATCCTCACCTGCTAGCAAAGAAGTCTCATTACACTTAATTTAAAGATTTGAAATAACCACGAATTCCATTACTCAAACTCGATCTATGAGTCAGGAAAGTCCTTACCTAGAATTCCATCACTCGAACAAGATAAAGCCGCGGTTTTACTAGCAAATAAGTAGCAGGAACCATTTCCAACATCGACATTCCAGGCAATAATTGATTCACTAACCCAGAACGCTCGAATACAAGAAGCCACTCTGCAGCTGTTCACCCCTCTACACACATACAAGGTCATAACTTAGCATCAACACAAAAAATTGTTTGAATCCCCCCCCCCCTCTCCTCCTCCCGTAGTGTAGATTAGAATAGAATATCGCTCGAATAAAAGAAGGAAAAAAACAAGAGAATTGGATTCTATAAATTCATTCGTATCTACCAAAACAGTAACAAAGTTTAATCCTTCAATCAAAAACCTTAATCCTTCAATCAAAAACCCACAACCAACTCGAACTTCTCCATCTTATTTTTACTCAAATTTATCATCTCGTTCCGAAATTCACAGAAACCCAATTTCGAAATTCCTAACAGGTTTTGGGAGCGAGAGAGAGAGCAGAAGAAACCTGCGAGGTAGAAGTGGGCTCCTCCTCGGCCGACATTGATACGGAGGACGACGACGAGCACTGCAAATTGGGGTGTCTGAAAACCCCGGCGGAGCGGAGTGGGAGCGGAGGGAGAAGGGGTTTGCGCTCGGAGGCGAAAAGGCGCCGTAAAGAGGATGAAGGACACGTGGCGGGGCGTTGAGGAGGGAAGTGGCGATTGGTCGTTGGAGCCGTTGATGGTGGCCGGTAAAGAAGAAACGAGGTCGAATATAATAAAGGCATCGAATTTTTAACCAATATATAAATCAAATTCAGAGAAAAGAGGGTGTGAAGCTCTGAATTTTGCTGCTGTTCTTCAGATCTTTTCTGCCCCAGATTCTTCCCTTTTTTGTTTTAAACTATTTTGTTGTCCGTTTTATTTTCAATTGCAGTTGACGATGTTATTTTAAAAGGGTTTTTTAAAAAACACACGATACTGTTTATTTTAATGAAAAATTATATTTTTATATTAAAAAATAAATTTTGATACTATTTACTTTTCCCTCTTTATCGTTAAAACTCAAAGTTTTCAAATTTTTTTTATTAGTTTTTGTTATTTTAAATTACCGTTTCATTTTTGATAATGAGAGAAATTTTTCAGTATCCTGAAAACATGATCTAATACACTAAGAGTGTTATAAACAAGTAGTTAAATATATTTTTTTTCAAATATCCACTTATATTATGACGTTTGATATACCAACATCTGTTCCCAACATGTTGAAAACTTTCCACAATGATAGACTTTACGACTATCTAGCTCATATAAAAATAAATTTCTTTTTTACTTTTAAGGAAGAAATTGTACTCTAAAAATAGTTTTTTGCACACCTCAATTGCACTTTACATGACAAACTAATGATTTTATTATGCCATTTTAGAATGCTAATAATGGTTTCTAAGTAATCAAATTCGTTTTAGTTTCATTAGGGTTTGATGTAATTTTAGCTCGTAAAGCTACATGTCAGACAAATAAATAAGAATTTTGTATTTTGAAGAAAAATACTACACCCTAAAAATAGTTTCTAACGCACCTCTATCTTGTCTTCATTTCGAACTATTGATATTATTATGTTATTTTTGGAAAGCTAACATTAGTTTTCTAGTTATTTCATATCGTTTTCACTCTATTTTGATTATGTACTGTTTAACTCATGAATTTTAAGTTCAACATGTGTGCAAAGCATGTGATCAAATGCCAAATCACAAGGACTATAGATTGAGGTGAAATATACAAATAAAACTAGCTACTAATCTTTAATCAAAAGTGGAATTGGACGAACATATAACAAAATAGCACTAACTGGTGGTTTATATACAACTTACTATCATGTTAGAGTTCTCATTTCTTGTTTTAATTAAAATTAATATTTGCTATCAATTTTATTTGTGCGTAATTTTTTAAATTGATGTAAGAATAAATAAGAAATTTAACTTCAATTTTGAAGAGAAAATGTGAAACGTTGTTCAATGGACCATTACCCCTTCAAAACGTGTGGGACCAACTATTGTTAAATTTCTCACTGAGCATGTGAGTTCATGATGATCATATGGCTCATGATCAATGGTTTCAAACTAAAAAAGCAATGTCCATAAACATTATATTATTTCTTCCTTTAATTTTATTGACTTGCTTCATTAGTCTAAACCAAACGCTCCAGTGGAGCAGTGAGCTTAGTTTCCTGCTAAAATTTTGCAGGCTATGAAGGTTTTCTTCATGAGAAAAGATCTCAAGTATCAATATCATCACGATATGTTGCCGATATTGTTCCATTGTATCGATAGAAAATAATATTAATAGCATAAATAAGTATTAATATGCGATTTGCTACAACAACAGTGCGACTTGAGAATATTGCTATCGTAATACTGCTATTTGAGATCATTTCTCATTCTCTCTTTCTATTTTAATTGATCGGGGTCATTATGGCAGACGACTCACAGTGAAGGTGAATGGTGGGCGTGCATGCTTCAGAAAAGAAAAATCTCTGGGAGATTTATGATTATTTGTCACAATTATTACGCTACTTTTATGTAACAAGAAAAAAAGCAAAAAAGTGAGAAGAAATAGCACGAGTACTTTTTAATTGGAGGCTATAGCTCCCACTAATTTTACATCGACTACAGAATTAGAGCAACTAAATTCAGAGAACAGAAGATTGAATCCCTCCGAGTTAAAGACTAAAAACGAAATAGTTATTAGACTGGATCTAAAGAAGCTATGAATTTTCATTTGTAAGACTGTTGTTTGAAAAATTCTAACTGATATGGATTGTAGCAATCCATTCCATGCTGCTCCCTTTGCATGTTTGACAGTATGAAAAGGATGTGCAGCCTTAGAAAATTATGTAACTAAAAAGCACAAAATAGTTGGTCAATGGAGAACGGTCCTTTGGTGCTTGGTGTTGGGCGGAGAATCAGAACCAGAACCATCAGAGCTTACCAGACTTCTCTTGTTACTGAAACAACTAGTATTACTACTACTAATGCAAGAGTCTTGGTTTAGAAGTCGCCGTGGTGGAGGAGAAATGGCAACCGGTGGGATCTCAATGGACTTTAGTTGGGGAGGAGGGTGCTGCCACTGAGGCAACGGTCCAGCCAGGAGAAGGGTTTGAAGCAGGGGTCCGGCTTCAATCACTGCTTGAAGTAGCTTCCCTTTTTCCGGCAACGGCTTCTCAGCTCCCAATTTCAAAGCAGCCTGTGGCAGTGGCGGCGGTGATGACAATGGCGCCGGCGGCATCATAATAGGGTCTGCATTCGGAGATGGAACGATGATCTCGGAGTCAGAAGAGGCAAAGTGTTTGTTTGATCCATTATCCTCATTTTGTTGCTGCTGCTTTTGTAGCTCTTGTTGGAGCATGAGTTTGTCCAAAACTAGGGTTTGGCATTTTGCTTCTGCTTCATCTCTCTCTTGGAGGGCTTTGCTTAGGAGATCTTTGAGACGAGCAATTTCTTCTTCTCTTGTCGAAATCTTCTCTTTTGCTGATAAAATCGTCATCTCAAGCTCCAAAGTTGTGCACGAAAGAGAACGCTTTAGCTCTTCTATCCCCTGCAAAAATAAGAACATTACTTAGCCATGCCTATAAGAAAATAGAATTTGAGAAATTGAAAGCTGAAATAGTTATCAAACGAGCTCAAACGAGATCCGGTACCTCTTCCTGAGAGAAGAATTCCCAGCTAAAGGGGCTGCACTGAACCTCCATTACTGGTAGTGTCGGTTGCTTACAATTATGTAGTTTGGTTTCTAGTTCTTGTGATATATATGATGGACGTTGAACAAAACACTCAAGGCCAAAAGCATTTATAGAAGGTGAATTGCGCGCCGAGTGAATTTTCTGTACCCTACACATGCACACAAGGACTCAACTTTTGTAGGAATGTGAATGTGAATTCTGCAGTTCGAGAGACCTTAAGTCTTCGTCAGCAGCACTTTTTGCCCGTAACTAATCCGCATAGCATGTGCATATGTGAGTAACGTTGGAATTACCAGATTTGCTAGTTACATTGTTGAACATGCACTAAATATTTATTGGTTACATTACTAATCAAATCACTCGATATTCGATAAAATTGATTGATATTGATATTGATATGATATTTGGTAAAGAACAAGAACTTCTGGAATTATAAACAGCAGACAAGTCATAAACCATTACCTTTGTGTTGGAGAATTTTCTTAGTCAGATAATATAAGTAAAAGAAAAAAGTCATATTTGAATAATTAAAGCCAATTTATCGCAACACTTTTCTCATTTATAGTTTAATCTCAGGTGTTCTTTTTGACTCATACAAGGAGAATATTTGTTTAGCCGCAACCCTTGCTAAAATTTAAATGTATTTTTTTAGTACATCGATATTTTTACAATATGGGGAGGAAGAGTTCGGTTGAGTCACACAATGGGTAACCTAGTTTGGTATCGAATTCGCTATCTACGAGATTCGAACCTAAGACCTTTCACTTCTAAGCAAATTAATTGCTCTTCTCATACAGCTTCAATATCACATGATGAGGCTGAAGCATAATTTTAGCTCATGCGTCAAAATGTATGCTAAAGCAGAGTTGGTAACCACGAAGAATTCGTCTGTGGATTAAGTCGCTTTCCAAACTTCTGCTCATATATATCCCCACTAGACAACACTTGAGGTTAAAATTTTGAGTCTACTTATATTGGCAGTGGTGACCAGATCAAGAACAGTACAGAATCTTCATGGATTAGGATGTGTGATTTGTGGATAATTGCATGGATTTGAAATTACTTAAAAAATTAAAATCTTGCAGATGATGAATGAAAAATTATTGTATAATATTATGACACCACAAATATTATATTTTAACAAAGGCACGCAGTGTTCAAGTATCATATAATAACTCGTAAGAATGTTACGTACAAATGACAGCTCGATATTACTTATTAATGATTCATTACCTGACTTAACTTAACCTCCACCGTAATATCGTTGTATAAAAAGAAATTAGTGATGAACTCAAAATTGAAAACAACAATGACATGAATGAAGTTATGGTGTGTCCCAGAATTAAAATGAATTATTTTCTCCAACCACATGTGACAATGTCTGCAAAGATCTATGATACATATCTTGTTCATATAGTTCAACTAAAAGATTCAAGGAGCTGAACCAAAAGTAGTCTAAAAAATTAGACAATCCCAATTCATCAACTCATCATAATACAAATTGTTGGATTCTCCGGAAAATGGCAAAGGAGATAATGGTAGGGTTCTTGAAAAGATACAATCCTCCTATTTGATCCATTGATTCAGATTTCGTGAGCTCGTCGTATTGGAAGAGTTTTCCAACACTGCCTTGCGCGTGGGTCCTCCTACATCTTACGTTAGATGATGGCTGAATCCACTCCGGACCTTAGTGTCCGGAGCTCAGGAATCAGAAAATCTTAGTCACACAAATTGAATCTGATGATTTTCATTAATTTATTTCATTGGTCCACTTTACAAAAACCAATAACTTCGATTTCTTTTCCACATAAATTAAAGGTTCAGATTTTTTTTTGATTCCTAAGGACACTAAGTTACGGAGTGGATTTAATTCCATGATTGAAGAGTCCACATCTCCGATTCGTCATTTTTCATGGCTCAATTCTACCTTCACATGCACACACATGCACACACATGCAAAGTATATGGTATGTTCCACCAACAATTAAACTATGAGAAACGTGGGCTCTCATTTTTGGTGCAATAAGAATGTGACACTCCATAAAAGATTTAAACATATGAATGCACTTCA